GGGGGATAGGAGGGTGGGGAAGACAGAGGAAAGTAAATATTCCCCTACTTGTGGATATGATGTCATTCGCACCGGGTGTTTTCACATTAACATTGCCAAGGGAGATTTATTTTATTGTACACGCTATTCCCCACATAGTTGAAAAACATATTAGTTATAAAAGGATGAAAGAAAAACGAGAAAAAAAATTCTCATACACTTTGAGTGAATCGGTTCGATCGCCGTTAAGAACTATGTTTAATCAGTTCACTGAGTAGAGTATAAATTCTAATAGTCATGATTTACTCAAATAGGGAGAGTAAAAATAAAATATATGGTGGGGAGGAGGGGTTATTCTATTTTGGCTTGTCGCACACACTTAGGCGGACATGGATGCACACCGTTCGATTGGGCGTGTAAAATGTACACCCGTCTGCGCAAGATGGATTTACTCATCGACGGGGCTGGCAGGATGAGTCCCTCCTGCGATGGCTGCATTGTGAAATGGCGTCGATTCCACATTGTAAAAATGAATGCCTGAAAGTCGAAGCATCGTATGGACTGGTATCGTTGTGTAGAGGAGACTTTTTTTCAAACATCGAGTGTATTTTTACCGTTTGATATGGGTCTAATTCGCGTATCGAATAAGATGAAAATAGGAGACATGTTGGAACTTCTCCAGCCAGTAATGATTAGAAGAGAAAAATCCGAAAATTTATAGTCCTTTACCATTATTAATTATCGACACTAATCTATTAGAAATGAGGGGGCGCACACATGGCCAGGACGTTGGAAAGAATGATACGAATTTCAAATATTTTTTGTTAATAGATGACAATAATCATTACAGGTATTATGTAGTTGAAGAAAGTGTTAGGTATTGATTAACGATTAACAGCATTGTTAGCATTATCAGTAGCTGCGATTCATCCACACTTTTTATTAGTTGCTTAGAACCTTCGTGAGGGTGGCGGAACGGCCATCTTTCCAAAGGAGTTAGTCTTCATGGGGATGTGGCGTGGAGGGACCGCGACTGCCCGGGGGGTATTCGACTCATTTCGCTTACTTTTTTTAGGCCTGTCGTCGTCATCGTCACTGTAATTTCGCCTCCGGTCCTGCTCCTCCGCTTCTTGTTCTAGTTCATCCCAACTCGCATCGCTAGAGTCCTGCTCCTCAGTAGACACGTCGCTTTCTTCATCTTCAAGCCACGAGCTTTCGTCGGACTCGTCACTCTCATCATCGTCCTCTTCGTAGTACGTTGAATCCGAGTCGGTCTCTTCGTCTTCCTCATCCGCGTCGTCGTTTAACACGGACCACCCCGCACCGGAAAGCCATGGATCCCACTCTGTATCGTCTTGAATATCCTTGAGGGTTACCTTCCAATTCGGATTGACGGTTGTCTCCATATAGTACAGCCGGGCGACGAGGCACCAATCCTTCAGAATGTCGAGGAACTGCCTTGGGATGGAGTTGATGGTGACCACCGGTTTGGTGTAGTCCTTCATTACCAAGGTCAGGTCGAAGGTGGAGCCGCCTGGGATCACGCGCTCGAAGGACGCGACCTCGACTTCGCTCACGGCCTGCGTGAAGGCTGGCCAGTCGCTGATAGCCCATAACACCTCACTGCTGCCGCGGAACTTCACCATCGATCGTGTGTGCACCCCATCGAAGAAGAATTTGCTGGTTGGAAGCTGGGTTTTGATTTTGCTCTGCTCCTCCACGGCCCGGGCAAAGGTGATGAACTGCTTGTTGGTCTCGCGCGCACGGGTCTCATCGCGAAGCTCCGCGTCGATCTCCTCTTGGTGCGAGCGGCGGGCGCCGGTAGCGGATTCGCTGCTTTCCATCACCTCCGCCACGAACTGCAGCTCCGCCGTACTCTTGCGACCCACCTCAATGGCCTTCTTCAGGGTAATATGATAGATCACACAGATTTCCTGGATCGATGGTTGGAAAATGACGTGTTTGATGTTGTCGAAGGTGATGTCGATCGGGGCGCCGCCGAGGTGGGAGAAGCGCAGGCCGTTTTGATGAAGCTCCAGGTTCCCAACACAGCCCTTGTTTTGGCGGCCCACACTGATGGGCGGGCGGAGTTTCACCTGCGGGAGGCCCAAAATCTTGCCAAGCACAAGCTTTCCGGTCAAAGCGGTGGTGGCGTTTCGTTTTCTAGCGGCATCCTCATTTTTGATGCGCTGATGGACGGCTTGAATTTGAAGCTTGAAATCGGTAAAGATATCACTTGAGGATGCGTAGTTCAGCTCTTTGAGGAAGACCTTGGTGCGGTTCAGCTTGTAGCCGACATTCGCCTCCTGCAGGGTATGGAAGGTGATGACCAGGATATAGCGATCCCCTTCCATGCGCACGTCCACCTTACTGATTGTGCATATATGAAAAGGTGTCAAGTTGCCGAAGAGCGGCAACCAAGCGACCTTTTTGTCCGTTTGGATATAAAGGTTTCCTTTCGCTTCCGGGGGTGGAAGCCGGTCCGTGGCGGAGAATGGATGCAGCTCGCCAAACGAAAGTCGACCAATTTCGTAGACCCGCAGCTCTTCCGTAGATGTCTGTATGCCTTTTTTCCCCCCCGCCGCGATGAACTCGGCATGGAGTTCGAGAAGAAGTTTCTTGAGTTCGTCCTCTCGTTGGGCCTCTCGGGAGACCATAGACGTATCCGCCATACCCTGTCGTGTGATTTTCGATAAATTGCGTACCGGTAGCTCTTCCGCCTCCTCTGGGGTTTCTTCGATTTCGTAAAAGATTTCGCTTGGCTTGCGCGCGGCCTTGGTCTTCAATTCCGCCACCCCGTCCTGGATGATGACCGTATCGGCCAGCTCCATCCCGTAAACGCCGCCCTTCTCGTCGGGGATTTGGTCCAGCACGATGCGGACGACGAAGCACATGCCATCCTCGATCGTGGCGGCCCCCTTCTCCGAGATCGTGCCTCGCACCTCCAGCACGAGGAGGCCGGTCGTGAAGCCGAAGGACGG